GGTTACAGTGCGATACTTTGTTAAATCCCATTTCCTTCAATTGTCAATATTATTTTCAGTAAATTATGATAGCAATTATTGAAATAGTTTTTATAGCTATCTTTACAATATAGAGATATGTATATATTGTACAATAGCTTATTATTCCAGCGATGATCGTCTGGAAAAAATCACGGCATGACAAGCTGTATTGAGAAAATAACTATCTAAAGCAGCATTGGTATTTTTATGCGTTATTGTCTACGTTTAATCCAATGACCCATTTGATTGCACAAGTGTAACTAATAACATAAAAGTAAAAATCACATTAAACTTTAATTGCGATATTGTCAGTTGGTTAGCAACAAAGAAAAGAAATAATTTCATTTCTTAATCTAACTTAATAGATAACAAAGGCTATGAATAATGGTCATAAATGAAAAGTATTTAGATTGATAATCACAAGGAATTAACAAACCTTAATTTAGTGCTACAGTGCCTTAATCACATAAAATATAAATATATATTACTGATAAAGCAATTGACTGCTTCAATCGATTACATTTTTTATCCATAAATTTTGATCATAGTAGCCATCAATGATGCACCGATATTTATCTGTAGTAATTTCCCTATTTTGATTTACCTTTTTCAACTCTCATGATTTGGCTTCAGAATTTTAACTAGTAAAATATGTATTGTAGGCCAATCGATTTTAAATATCCTATTTATGAATGTTGATACTTACATAATGGAACTGACATTGGCTAAAGCTATAAACTGATCATCATAATATCTAATAAAATTTTTTATTTTATCAAATTAAATGCATATCGGTTAATATATTATTATGAGTTGATAATGATGATCGATTGATTTTGTCCATTTTTATATTACATTGATAAGTTGATTTACTTAAGTTTACAGTATTTAAATTGAGTTAGGGATAAAGTGATCATCATCATTTAATCTCTTAGATTGAGTAGTTAAATATTAGCATCATGTTTAGAATTCTTGCAGGTGGACAGCATAGATTGACAGCTGTAACAATTTTCAATAAACAAGCCGACAACAATAAATATTTCATTGTTCGTGAGTTACTTTTCACCTGCCCCTACTCCAGCTGATAATACAGTTTATTAAATATGTACATGATGTTACAATTTCTTTTCCTTTTCTTTTACAATGATATTACATTCAGTGGTAATATTATAAACCAAAATTATTGATTATAATTCTCCGATTGTATCTATAATGAATATCAGTCTCAAAGTATTTGTCCACTATTCTCACACTGTATACACAGAAGTTTGTTGCATCCGATTGTTACTCGTTGTCTACAACTTTTTCTTCATATCTTGATTTTAGGTGCATAAAAGGAGGCAATAGGGTTATAAATGCTCCATCAAATCTGATCTAGCCAACACACTTCCAACACCCACCTGAAAAGATTAACCTGCCGTGGTGACTACTAATAGAAAGAAAAAAAAAATCATTTTCCGTCTTGCAAGAATAACAAGCGATGCCAAAATCTTTCCTGGTTAAAATCAAGAATAAAATGAACCTGGCCAACTCTTCTTACCCATCTGACTTTATTCATACTACATCTAATTTAAAAGGTAAGGCATTTTCTGTTTGTAGTTTGTCGATGTTAGCCAAAATTGAGAGAAAAATTTATAGTCATACGCATAAATCTTTCCATCGCATAATGATTACGATCAAGTTGATAATAACTACGAAGTCCCATATTTTTGTTTTTGCAGTTAAGAATCAAGTCAATTTTCTCTTGACAACTTCTAAAATGTCACGCATTAAACTAACGTAATTAGATCATAAATGGAAGTTTCCAATATAACACGTATTTTAAATAGTAGTTACATTAATTTTATTTGATTTTGTTGAAAGGTTATTTGTTCGCGGTATAGTTTCTAACTTAACTTTAATGTATTTAGTCTAATCAAACGAAAAATTTCAATTCATTGAAGGTATATTATTTTTTTCCCCTGAATGATTTATTTTATGAAAAGGGATAATAAAGTCTAACATTTTCCGCCAAATTTAGTTCTGTTATTTTAATCCGTGTTGCATGTAAATGAAATGAGTGCCTACCACATTGATAAATTTAAAGTTATTTACAACATAAACGCAACCGTTGTCAATATTTCTGCACCCAGACGCTATTCAATATCGGATGCAATTTTCCGTGTTTACTATATTGCCTTTTTTTTGTATAAACACACGATATCAATCCAATCTAGGGCCACATTATACTACTCTCCAGATCGAGTAATAAATCTCTTCTCATCAACATTCCGTCTTTCCTAGCTACAAGAGAAGTAATTTAACTTGATTGAGATTATGTCATCATTGGTGTAAGAGATTGAAGTATAGTTAATTTATCCACCATCACAAGGAAGAGATAATCTATTAATAACATTATCTAATTTTAATTCTATTGTCGGTACTCTGTATTGCAATTTATTTATATTTGTTTATTATCATCTTAATACTGTCTTTAATTAATCAGTCATGAAAAGATGTAGATTCTCATCCTATTTTCATCAACTATAAATCTATTGCTTTTACTTTAACAGAATTGAGAATATTATCTAATAAATTGATATAATATCTAAAATTTCCTTGAATTTTAATTAATAATGGTATACATCTTGATGTATGGCAAGTATCAGTTAATTCAAAAGAGAAAGGATTTCTAATATTTTCGAAAATAGAGAAAAATATTGTTTTCGATTACATACGGCACAAAGGCATCAAGATGAAGCGAATATTTAATATTACGTGTTCTAACTTAACAACAGTATAGTTAAGGATAATACTACTAATTAAAAATGTCTGCTGTATAGCTGAGACATTATGATCAGAGAGATGACGATGATTTTATTTTTTTAACCTTTCTCTAACTAGCGTTAAATCAAGATTGCCACAAGTTATTTGATATTCTGGTACATTTTCAGCCAGTCATGTTGAGATTTATAGACAGTTTAAGTTGATTATTCTCAATTTCCATCGCTATCACTTACATCTGCTTCCTTGATTGTAAAATTACCGCTTATAAACAGAAAATAGAAATAGCTAAGCACTCCCTACACTTTAGCTTATAATGATTTTTATAATTGTCGAATGAGATTATTCCCAAGAGTTTTCGATTTGACTTTCTGTTAATACTTTCAAATTAGACAAATTATACGAAATTCTCTCTATCATGACTAATACTTATTTATTAACTGAGTTATAACCTATAATATAGTCCTTAGCCATATTTTGTTTCAGCATCATAGTATTTTCTTCCATTAATATGCGCAGTTTTGAGCAATACACGATATGACTTAAATGATTACTACTAAGGATTAAAATAGCTTATAGCCTTGACTTTGTCTAGCTAACGTTTAAGGAAGTAATTTAAATAGCGTTTCCAAAATAATTCCTAACGGAAATGGCACAAAAACTGTTAATTATGTTTCTTTGCCTATTGATTCTGATCGTAATGACTATGCTGAGTGATTAAAATCGACTAAAAAAGAAAATTACATAGCATAATTTGTATCCGTTCGATCATTAACTCTTTTATTTTTCTATATAAATGATTTTCTATAATACTGATGATGAGATTTGAACAGTACATTTTATAATAATGCATTTATTACTTTTTATACTTTTACTTTCTATAATTTTCAATTGGAGAAAATGATGATACACAAGACAACGGCCAATATTTTAATTATATTAATAAGAAGTCATCAATATTGACGCTTGATTTATTCATTAAGACATAAAATCTCATTAATAATTATAATCCCTCTTGAGAAAGGTTATTATCGTTATTTTATTCTATCCTTTATCATATCCCATTGATTGCACGTCCATGTGCAAATTTTTCTCACAACTGATTGTCAATAATAATTTTAAATTTATAATTCTATTGATAATATCGTGATACACTATAATAGGTTAGTAATACTTTCGACGTAGAATTTTTTTATGATAATGATTGCTTTACAATACAATCAATATTTCATTTCCCAATCAACTTCTTGCAGAATGCGGAAATACATACGTTGACTTTTTGTAAGGACGCTTGATAAATAGGAATTTTTCCTATATAAATATCTGCTTTACATAGTACGCGTTTAGACTACATTCCAGTTCACTATCCTTGACTGTTATGGCTGTACCTGATAATATAAATTTCACGACATAGTTGAATAAATCATTTAACAGTTCCGTTAAGGTATATTGATTATAATAATTATTATTTAAAATAAATTTACTTACGGCTGTTTTAAGAGAAGATTTCGCTATTGCTGTTACATTAGTCTGATTCAAAGTTTTTAAATATTATTTTATTTCTATCGGTTTTTTACCCTTTTTTTTACCGTAAAAGAGCTCAGATTTTAACTTAACTTAGTCTATCATACCTTATAGCTCCTTAGCAGTGATTTTGAGACATTGATTCATGGCTACATGTAATGACGATTCCAGGGTTATCATATTATTTATTATGGCATGAGTTTCGCTTTACTTGACTTATTTTAATTATGATGGAGATCTGCTTTATTTTTATTTTTGCAATAGTCTATTCTTAATAAAATAGGATGGAATATAACTTTCGATTATAGAAATGTCGTATTATGCGTATTATCAAACTGAAATATTCGTGAGTCGCTTAATTTCACCGTAATAATACGTTTCATCTTTATATTATTTGAATAAGTGATCTAAGATAGAGAACTATAATTCAAGAGATCTACTCCAAGCTTAACAGTTTTTTAATGATGAGATTTTCCTATACGATGCAAATTATTTCTTGAATGAGCTAAAACTGTTTTATTGTATTATAGTATAAAAGTGTTTCGCATTTATTGAGCTCAGTTTTCTAAATAGACGCAAGCGAATAATACTCACAAAGTGTGTTTAATTGTTCCTTTTGAATTTTAGGATCAAACAATCGTTTGGATATCGCTGTACCTAAAGCTACTTATCCTGAAGTCTATTATCCTAATATGACACATCAAGTTTCTCAAATATCACCACTGTCCTACGTCAATTTTCGCCATCCATATTTATTTGGTGGGCAAGCACCTCCCTTTCCGTCGTGCTATTGGCCTTATCAAGCACCACATATGTGCTGGCGTAAAGATGCTATCAGCAATTATACAACGGCGGCTGCTGTGACTGCAGCCAATAATTTATACAACAAATCGCTCAATTCATTGAATTTAAATCAATTTCCTAAAGGAATTTATCGTAATACAGATAGAAACCGAGAAATTACATCAACAAAAGGTATCGAGGATAATCAAGATAAATTAGGCAAGACACGACTCATTGACCACGAATCGAAAAATAGCGAAGATTTAGATGTGGAAGATAATTGTGATTCCATAAGTAATGGAAAGGTTTCGTGTGAAACGTTCGAGTGTTTTACTTGCAAGAAAGGTTTCAATACGGCACATGGATTGGAAATTCATGTTCGGCGCTCTCATGCTGTAAGTAGTATTATACGGATGTAAAAGAATGTTAAGCTAGGATGATTCAGTTTAGCCTAGTGTTGGTATCATACTATTTCATGCTATGTATTCTACTTTATATATAGTGTTGTATCATTTTCGATTATCTATGTTAAGAGTTACGTTGAAAAATTGCTAAGAAATGAAATTTTTAAGCTCTAATATGCGTATACGATCATTAACTGTCATTTCGTTTCATATAATCCAATTCATTCTAGGGTGTTAGACCGTTCGAATGTGACGCCTGTGGAAAAACCTTTGGACATCGAGTTAGTTTAGAGCAACATAAGGCAGTGCATACGAATATTAAGTCTTATGAGTGTAAGACTTGTTTNAAGATTTTTAAACGATCATCGACACTATCTACTCATATGTTAATCCATACCAATACAAGACCCTTTGCTTGTCAATATTGTGGCAAAAGATTTCATCAAAAATCCGATATGAAAAAGCATACCTATATTCATACTGGTGAAAAACCTCACAAATGTACATTGTGTGGTAAAGCATTTAGTCAATCGTCGAATTTAATTACTCATAGCCGCAAGCATACAGGGTTTAAGCCATTCTCATGTGAAATTTGTAGCCGTGCTTTTCCACGTAAAGTCGATCTTCGAAGACACATGCATACTCATCAAAGTCAGCGTTAAGAACTTATTCAAGGACTTTCTGGTAGATCATCGAGTAATATATATTTTCTAGTTGGACCACGCGTAATATTATATTATTTCATTTTATCAAAGCCTAGACCGACAGCTAGTAATGTCAATATAGAGTATATTGAATACTCGTATATACGAATATATATATGTATATATACTGTCTATACAGTATATAAAAATGGACGTAATACTTTCCTTCATAGCAATTCCAAATACTGGCTCTAGATGGTTGTATGCCTGTGTATGCATATGTAGAATTGTCCTACGATCGTATATAATTGGACATTAATCATTCTTAGTATTTGCTGTCATTTAATCCAATAAGCATTTATGGCATACTGTATAGAATTATGGATATAGACTAATCACTAGGAATTGGGCTTAAAAACAAGGGGTGGTTCATTTTTTCCAGCAGGATACTTACTGTACTACTTCAAAACTGAATCAAGTAAAACATAGATTGCTGCATTTGATGCATAATAATTACTGGCCTATACATGTGTATGTGGATGTGGTTGTGTAGACGTTTGCTACAAATTCTATAGCCACCCTTATTCAAATTATTACGATAGCCTAGAGTATATTGTACGCGTGGTGCTGGCAACTTTAAAAATAGAATTGTACATTTAGCTGCCAATCGATTATCACAGGCTTGCTTTATATTACCAGTTTAGTCAATATTACAGATGATTGCCAGTATTAGCGTACTGTATCTAGGCGTATCATTGGATAGCCCTTAAACTGATCATATTGCTATTTGTAACGAACGCCTGTATTGGCATTCTCGAATGTTAAAGCCTATTTGTTTGTTTTTATCACCCATCATCAGATTGCTACTCAAAAATCCCAGTCATTGATAGATGATTTTCGATTTTCGTCTAATTTGAAGAGATAAATTCTATCTCGTCTTTCACTTTCTCCTTTCATAAATTAAGTGTTAGTTCAATTGTTTCTGTCAATGCTGCAGTATGGCATGTACACTACACTTGTACAGCATACTCTAGAAATTCTGGAATCTCGTCATCACTGTATCATCGCCTACAACTATATTTACGTGATTCTCAACTTTCTTAATGATCTGTCATTAATTTATTAATCATTATGATTATGCTAATAATATTAATATTGTGGTAGACTATTTATGATATTCGGATTACGTCGTTGTGACTGAAAATTTGCCTTCTCTACTAGAATAGTTACTCAGTCGCCGGTGACATCTTATAACTCTCAGACAGTCGCAGCTGTGTATCCTATCGATTGACTGCATTTGTTTGCAATATAATTTCATCAATTTGACGAAATGTGAAAACTGTTGTATGAAATTGTTACAGCAACAACTCAAAATTTAGTGGTCATTTTAATGTACATAGAATTCATGTAATGAATGTACGCAGGTTAAAAAGTTGGAGGAAAACAAAAATAAATTATTAATTTTGTTATTGCAATCGCCATTTCTATGAGCCAGTGACAACTTTGTATGCGTAAAACTACCTTGGATCACTATTGGTGCGTATCAGACTGGGATACTATTTAGTTCTCTATGATTTGAACGACTGTATTGGAACTAAAGTTTTGTATGATACCTTTCGAATGTGGTTGATCCGCCATGGACTTTTCAAAATACCTTGCAAGGTATTTTGAAGTCCATGGCTAATACTAATAGTGATCTGAGATGATCTGCGCTTGCACGAGGTTTCACCTCGCGAGGTGAAAAATAGTTACCGAATAGTGATCTAGTACACTTCTAGACGGAGCCTAATGAATCTGAGCAGCGGCTAACATCGATAGGAAGTGAATCGTCACGAGCTGATAGGCAGACTACTGTCGTGTTTTTAGTGACCACTTTGTATGCTTAAAAGTACCTTGGATCAATATTGGTGCGTATCAGACTGGGATACTTTTGAGAGCTCCATGGCTTGAACTGTATTGAAACTAAAGTTTTTGTATCATATCAACCTTTCCAATGTGGTTGATCCGCCATGGACTTTTCAAAATACCTTGCAAGGTATTTTAAAGTCCATGGCTAATAGTGATCTAGTATACTTCTAGTACGCTTTCCAGACGGAGCCTAATGAATCTGAGCAGCAGCTAACATCGATAGGAAGTGAATCGTCACGAGCTGATAGGCAGACTACTGTCGTGTTTTTAGTGACAACTTTGTATGCTTAAAAGTACCTTGGATCACTATTGGTGCGTAGCAGACTGGGATACTTTTTAGTGCTCCATGGCTTGAACGACTGTATTGAAACTAAAGTTTTGTATCATATCAACCTTTCCAATGTGGTTGATCCGCCATGGACTTTTCAAAATACCTTCCAAAGTACTTTAAAGTCCATGACTAATAACAATCTAATACACTTTCCAGTCGGAACCTAATGAATTGGAAGAGCGGCTAGAATGACTGTAGTGTTGTAGTCAAGAGGCATCGGCAATCATCACAATAGTGAGGAATTTGAATACTGTGCCGTGATTGGTGTACAATTTGCCCGCCACCGCGAAAACGCGAACAAGACCAGTCTTGCATGCTGCGTGAGTCATACTATCGTCACGATGGACTGTCCATCTGTTACATGAAAATGCAATTTTAATGTGCATATTATAGTATTGTGTATGAAAACACTATCGGCAGTCAAGGAGTCTTAACATATAGAACATACATATAGTGTGCTTATACAGCACAGTATTTGAAAACAAATAAATAGCTTGATCTCGGAGTAAGAGCTGCAGTTGCTGACAGCAAGTAAAGAGACATGGTTGAATGTGGATGCTTAGCTTACTTGGCTGTAACACTTTTGGTTGCAGGTTTCCTTTACCTCACCTATAACGGTTTACTTTACCCGATCGTCCTGAGGACTGCTAAACCGCCCTATATCTGCAACCAACTGAGTGTTTTTTACAAAGTTCATGTTGGAGCATATCGTAATGTTGGCACGATCTTTGATGAAGCTAGGAAATTGCTTCCCAGCTCGGATGGATCTACACTAGGCATCTATTATGACGATCCGAATACGGTTTGAACCTTATTATACATTATTGTCTAGTTAATTGAAGAGACGGCTCTGCGCCTTACCGGATACTGTATTCTGCGTATGTTTTAGGTAAAAGAGGAAAATTGCCGATCGGTCGTTGCAGCTGTTGTAGGTGAAAATGGTTCTCCCATCGACGCTAGTGTCAAGCAGAGATATTTGCAAGCAGGGTTTAAACAATATGAGCTTCCGGCAGTTACACAAGCGGTGTTTTGTTATTTTCCATTTAAAGGAATTGTGTCTATATTAATATCAGTAATCAGAGTATACCCGAAATTGGGCAAATACATTCAGGTAAGGTACCTTACAAATCCTGTTAAATGGATGTCTTGTGTAACTTTGCATACGTTCAACTAGTGTATTGCACATGCTAAATCACTTTGCTAGCCAAAAGCTTCCATTGATGCAATGTGCGATTAATAGTGAGCAAACTGATACTAACATATTCACATAGATCAATTAACTACCTAGTTTTACGATAGGTATATGTATTTATTGCATAGTTGACCTATCTTCAGAAAGGTTAATAGATTACTGTACTGTAGATTAGATTACATCTGATCGCACAAATGAACTTACTGTAGGAGTATGTATTGAAAAGTATTCCGCTACGTATGTAGTATCATGTTATCGCACTGATACGAACTCCTTTGATCATAGGTGATCATAGTCAGTTTTTATAGCTCATATTGTTCATACTGTTTATGGGATACCTCTTGAAATAAATTTTCCATTACTGGTTTATAACTATGTATCTTGTAGGAGAATAAATTGACGGCATTCCCGATGATGGAGGTTTATGATAAGCAAACGGTAGCCTTTATCGCACCATTGGAACACCAGAAGTTCTTCTATCCTCCAGGCATTGAAGTTCCAAAAGAGTGAACTAATATATAGAGACACTAATTTAAGTAATGCAGAAATACAAATATCTATCTCTATTTTACACCTCTTTAGGTCCGTTTACTTGCATGTTTTATGAAGTCTCACGTAAGAATGTATTGTGCTTCTCTGATCTCTTTTATCCGAAGCTATTTAAAAAAGGCTCTGCTCTCTGGTTATAGCCTCCCTAGGATATTGAATCAGTCATTTACGTACTGTGCGTTATGACTCAGTTTAATCGTTATACAGTATGCTGAAATGCTACGTATATGATTTCCTTGTAATGATTGGAAAGTTGTGATAAAAATTTGAGATTCAATTTCTTACCCACTACTCGTGCATGATTTGCTATGCATACTGATTGTGTTTACATACCTTGTACTTTATCATTATCATAATAAATATGCTGATCCAATTTTCTTATTGCTATTGCAGACAAGTCTGAATTCAGCTTTGAATCATTCTTACCTTTCCATAGTGTAAAGAAGCATTAGAAATTTGATGTGATTGAAAGCATCATATTGTGCAGCAAATTGGAAATGACTATATTACTGTATTGGGCCTTGATTGAGCAGAGTAAAAGGTCTTAGTCAAGTTATACGCATCTATATGATGCACGTGTTTGCATATGTACGATATAAATCGCAGTCATTGATGATTCTACGCTGTACAGTATACGAGTATTACCAGTTGTAAAATACTCGTGCATAGTATGCACGAGACCGTCGAGACGAAATCGTAGTCATCCATGATCCTTTCTACTTCATAAATCAAATACAATGAATGACTTGCATCAGTTGAACGCTGAAAGGATTGGAAGAATTATGGTCTATCCTGCAATGTTGGTTGTACAGTATACAGTACAGTATACATATATTATTATATATTGTATATATACTGTACAGTATATTGTCATATGACATATATGTATATGTGTATACAGTATGTACATATAACATATATGTCTATGTCTCTCTCTCTCTCTCTATATATATGTTACGTATGTATATGTATATACAAATAGTACTGTATACACTATACAGCTCGTGTAGTCACGTAGTTATTTTGAGTAGCCTAGGGAAGTAAATAAAGTTTGTAGTTCTGTTTACCGTAAATCTTCAAAGCTGTAGTAGCTACTTTGATTTAGCCTCCATTATATATGTCTCTCTCTCTCTCTCTATATATGTTACGTATGCATATGTATATACAAATAGTACTGTATACACTATACAGCTCGTGTAGTCACGTAGTTATTTTGAGTAGCCTAGGGAAGTAAATAAAGTTTGTAGTTCTGTTTACCGCAAATCTTCAAGCCTGTTTGTAATAGCTACTTTGATTTAGCCTCCATTGTTCAGTTCTCTCGTTTTTTTAGTACTGCACTGTATGTACTGTACAGTACAGTGTACAGTACGTAGTCTTTCTTACAATGTACTGTAGAAAAAGGCCACAATTTATAGAAGTATTCTTGGCTTTAAGTGCTAATATTAGTAGCTTGAAGACACTTTATGTCAATTTCAATTACATAGTCGCATAAAGCATCTTATTTCCAATCAAATGATGCCAACTTTATCTAATAAGGACTTCAAATTAGAACTTGATAGAATTTCAATCGCCGAGACTAAGACACCCTCAGTACAGTGTACAGTATAACTATAGCGAGCCCTGAGTTATTATGTTTAGCGTCTCGCGAGTAACTTACTCTACCGTTATTAGGGTTAATTAAATTAACCGGTACATTGACACAACAAAGCTCAAGACAGGTAAAATGCGCTGATTCCCAACCAAACTGACTAATTGATTGTATTAAATTTTTCTAACGACTTCTAAATATTGCATTAAGCCTGGGTGGAATTAATTACCTGAAATGGATAAAGTTATCGATCATCTGGTTTAGACTGTATTAGCTGCAAATTCACTAGCAACCATTGTTATACTGTATTGTGGCGTCATAAATCAATATTCTATTTATGACGGTAGAATAGAGAATCTATAACTACTGCATATCATCCAGCTTATACTAATTTCGTCATTTATTGAAGCATTGCCTGTTGTTGGATTCCTATGAACTAACGGGTAGAAAAAAAGAAGCAACTTAACTGTTAGGAAAAATGGCTAGTTACGCTTTAAGTCTGTATCATATCGTGGCAGCTGCTTTCGCTGGTGTCGCTGGCTGTTTGGGTATCATGCTCCGTAGTCAATTTGTTAATTCATCATGTACCAGTAAGCCCTTCATCGACATCTTTCAAATAGGTGTAATAGCCGCTCCAATGGCACTGGCTGGTTCGGTATGTAATATCGCATAGATGATTGATTCATGAGATAGAAAGTTTGCAGCTTCTTGGTATTTTGACAGTTTGGGTAGTCGAGAGTCGAGAGTAGATAAAATAGATTGATGCCTTGAGTCAATTTACTGAGAATTGAAGAAATAAAAAAGAAAGCATGGCGAAATGGCATTTTAGCCATCGGCATATGTTAATTTGTTATAAAACTACCCTTCCGTTAATTAAACATTCAGCCATTAATCCGTTTATTCAACCTTTGGTATTATATCAATCTTAAAAGTATCGACTCATTACTTAAATTAAAAAACACATACTCATCCATGTTGATTTATCCTAAACGTAGTGAACTATTTTGACGGCTAGTTGCTTTACATTAATGTTTAAAAGGATAAATTCATTATCAAATTACTGTACTGATGTCGTACTTTTTGTCAACTGCATTCTAATAGTGAAATAAACGGATACGACTCATTGAATACTGCTATACATGCAACCGTGCCGAATTAGATATGGGAAAAGATAAATCTATCCTTTAATTTACCATTTTATTTCTGTTCTTTCTGTTATTAGATTATAGTATCGCATAGATATCCACGTTGATTGATGTGTTCTTTTGCGATTGCAATTTGAGAGGTGTTATTATTTCGATTGTCAACTACGACAATGCTTACTTGGCGTAATACACCATCTACAGTATTTCCATGTCCATATTCAAAATCGTACAGCCCTTTCTCGATAAACAGCAATGATTTACGAATGTTAGTTTATGGTCATAATTAATTATAATTTCACTTATGCATGTCCTTTGGCTACTTGTCCATACCTATATGTTCACTTATCTACCGCGTTCCTTGGAACGATAGATTCTTAAAAAGCCGTTGTGATAACTGATCATAGTTGCAACATTTTTCATTGCACTGAAGATTGGGTAATAACTTGATGTTTTCACTGATGATATAAGCATGAAACACTGATCAACCCTAACGGAAATAATATTAATCTCACATTTTAAACTTTACTATTGGAGATGTAACAAGGCGATAGTGTATTGTTCATTTTACAAGCTTCTTGACTGGCTTTTTTTACTTTTCTTCTTGCGGTTAAACACCGACTCTGTAAAGCGGTGTTATATGATAGAAACTTTCAATTTTTTTTAATTACCACTACTAGCTGTATTTTCATGAGACCTGATTTCAGTAAAAACGGTCAATGTTATTGTAAACATCATGTAAGGTAGCTCGAGATTTTACGCTCTTCTTTAAGAAAGAAATTGTCTCTCGATATACCATTCGACTCTATGGGCGCATATACGTATTATAGAATTAATAGCCGTCGCTAGACGTCATGTGTCATCACTTTCTCAGCATTCTATCGTTCATAGAGTATATTTAGCGATATTATGTTATATTTATGCTCAACTTTAAATCAGTATTTAATATATACAATGATTTTCGGTAAAGATATCATCTCTATTCATCGTACGATTGCATGATCTTATCAAAGCCTGAAAATTGAAAGGCGATTGAATCATGAGACAGTAATATGCATAAGAATCTAATGGACTAATGAAACTATACGTACCTACTTTCAATGAATGCATAGTGCATGACATCAAAATTTTGAAATTGGTAAAATACTCGTAACAACTACTCAGGGTCATGTCTATTTATTCGAGCAGGAAAAATTTTCTAGCAATAATAATGGATAATACGAAAGAATTACTTAATAAATTATAAGAAATGCATTAAAAGTAGCAGATCATTTTCTGCCGATCTCTTCAAAAGCATATTTGCAAAAGTGATTAGAATTCGTAGTATTAGTTATTTATTAATAGGTACGTGTAAAGCGCCTGATTTGATGTTGAACTTTCTTCATTTAACTTTTTTTTATAAATACGCAATTCTACTTTATAAAACTGTTCCATGATTGAAATAGAATAATGATACTGCCTTTGATTATAATTACTGAAAATGTTAAATTCTGAAACTAATATTTTTTATCTTATGTGTCGTCACCCTTTTTACATAGTAATACGAGCTTTGGATATTTATTTACCTCGAATTTACATCATTCCATTTGTTATTTTAAATTACTTTAAAATTTTTTCTATCATGCATTACAAGCATATGTCTCGATAATAAGTGTAAATTACAATTAATGGTAGAGCCAAGCAACATCATAGTTTATTACGTGCACAGACGATGCAGTGCTTGACGTATGACTACATACAATAGTTGTATAGTATTCTTTTATATTGTTGTGTACACTAGTTTTTAAGGCTGGGCTAATAACATAATATGAAGGTTTCAATAGGACTTTGTGAGTATTAATAAATATGAATTTAATAAGGTACTAGATTAAACATTTGCCGTCCGGATCACTAGTTTGTTAGTACTATTCAATAATAACTAGTTATACAGTACTGTAGTAAATTACGTCATATACTGTCACTCATGGAAATTGTATATAACATATATAAACACATAGAGAGAGAACTGCCAATAAAAATGCGATAAATATTTCTCAAGAACATTCACAAAAACCTCTTACTAATATCAGCAGTACTTTATTGTAGCGACTATATCAAACGACCAAAAATGAGAGCACGTACTAAATTCTCCGTAATCAACTTCTTCAGAACAGTCACTTCAATCCAAAAGCGTATATATAGGGTGCATCATTATCATGAAAATATGTTAAATATTAGGATCACATTGCGCTAGACATAAAAAATATACACCTAAACATATCAAAACAATAATTAGTATAGAAATCAATCCAAACGCATAATAAAGAGAAATTATTATAGTGAAAGCTCAATAGAATTATACTAACAAAATCACCTCGAAACCCTGTTTCGTGGTATATACGTATAACTGTATTTATTTGCAATAGTGCGTGTATGTGCGCGCAAAAGGTTACATACAATATATAAAGGAGAGAAGACGTAACACGAACTGCTTAATGTTATCGGTATTGCAATTAGCAATTAAATTTATGGTAGATTAATAATGAAGGTCTACAGTATATTGCACCACTGAATGGTCAAATTAAAGATTGCAATGCAAACTAGAATAGCAATCTACTACGCAAATGGATCTTAGATAGTTTTTAATTTGATGTACCTTATAAAATTACAATTTTTAGAATCGAAACTATAAATATTGAGATTTCACGATCATATTGCATTAGAAGGCGCATTCTTTCGATATCATTGATAAAAGATATAGCTGTGATTGATCGATATTCATGCTAATCTGTGAAATTTTTCAATATTTTTATCTAGGCATTGTTAGCAGGCATTTTCCACATAACCCATTTGCTGCTTCGTGAGTCAGCCAACAAATACTTGGTAATTTTCCTAACAATACTTGATAGCTTATGATTTCTATTTTGTTCATTCGGTATCAAATTTATCGTCAATATTCTAAAAATATATAAGAGGACTAGAATATCAAATACTGTTAGATAATGATATGCATGCATTTTTGTTTAAACAAGATATTTACTTTATATTAATGAATAATTTCATTCTTACCAGACAATCATACACTGGATTTGTATTTCGGTAACAATCGTCATTTCAGCCGCAGCGGTGTCATTAGGTTCCTACTACTTGTATGTTGACTTAATTGCTTTTATTGGTAATTCAAGCGATTGCGTTATGAAACACGATCTGCTATTGATTAACGCTGCTACTATTGCAGTTGGCTTATTTGAGCTCCTTATCTGCTTGGCTTCATTTGAGTTATGTTGTGAGAAAGGATCTACTAGCTTTGCTATTGGTTCTGGCCGATATCACTAGATATTAATGAATAGCAAAAATTTTTTTAATATTAAATCCCTAAATAGATGTCAAATGTGTTCCTAAATCCACGATATAGCTATTTAAGTCTTTATGTCTTATAGATTTTAGATGAGAAATTCTATAATTTGCATAGAAATGTATCGCAATTGTTGCAATTTTTATTGTTGCCAGTAATCTGGTACGTCTTAATGATACTGCAAGTTAGGCAGATCTTTTTAGAAACAATACAGCGATATGCGTGGCTAGATAAAACCAACGCTATGTGATTTATAGTTTAAGATAAGAGGTTGGAATTGAAATTATTTACTAATTATTGATTTTATTGTTGATACTGATTTTTATTGATGTCGTAAATACTGTATTTCACTGGAAGACGTCTAAAGCATGCGGTGTGACTAGGTAAACATTTCAGTAAAGATGAAACTCTAATTGCAGAACATAATGAAATTAAGTAATAAATCATAGGAAATATTTTCTTATTTCAATTTCTTCTGGAGTTTTGCACTTGTCTATATATCAATTCATTGATTTCTCAGGATATTATGTGAATGACACTATTGATGTAAGACTGATGCGAAGTTATAATTGTACAACAGGAATAATATCCTTGACATGAATATAACATGGTATGTATACTCGTAACAAATGATGTGAAGGATTGTAAATGGGGCGCCCCATAAGTATAATTGAACAGCGAAACTTAGGCGGTATAATTTGATATTAGACGTTTATAAACTTTGCAGCGTTATCGTATAGTGGCTTTACACCATTTGTTGCATGATAAATAGAAGACGACAAAATGATTCAATATTTAATTTACACAATTTATTTCATTATGAATTTTAGTTGACAATCGTCAAAGTATCATAAATTGCAGTGTAAGAAAATTTAAATTCTACCTAGAATAATATATATTTTATTATCAAAACCAATTTATCGAATAGTAATGGGACATTTTAAGTTATTTTCATTATTGTACATGAAACACTTGCCATATTCAGTATATACGCGTATATACTATAAAGGTATACTCAGCTTTGTTGCATACTCGTACAATATTATTTGCAGTTATAGAGCAAAATAATGCAATTTTTTGACATCAATCACCATCGATATCGTACTCGATAAACTCAATTAGGAAATATAAAAGGCTAGTTGCATTAATAGAAGAAAGCAAAAATTAAAATACTGATCTCATCATAATAGCTACAATAGTATTTTACTACTATACTTCATAGATACATGAATTTATTCCTGAAAACATTTAATGTGGTATAGATGTATATCGAATATTTAACGCCATTGCAAGTCAATGCAATATACGCGTATATTCGATATGGTAATACTTACATCCCGTTTAGCTATTACAAATTTTAACTGGAATATAAATTGCATATTTTATAATAACAATGTACAGTACAATGAGGCAAAAAATTAAAGAGAAAATTGGATCTTCTAGTCGTCTTTTTTCTGTCCAGTCTGATGATATTCAGGGACGTAAAATTTATCTTGATTATCCAGCGGTGTGGCAATGTATAGATTATTTTTATCATAGAATTCTATAAACGGATATGCATTTAACTTGAATTGCTGCAATGTATAGAAATAAAAGATAGTATTAGTATTTTAGCATCTCTTTCTTGGTAGTGATAGCAGTAGCTAGCATTACTTCCTAGGTGTACGCATAAAGCAATCATGTATTACATAAACATCTTATAAAATGCGTTTATGTACCCGAATGTAAGCGTTCATTAAAGGATAGATTTTTCTGATACCCAATATGACCGATACATAGTTATTTATTGGAAATTGGACGTAAACAGCAGATTGGATAGAAGGAAAGGAGCCTTTCAAATATCCACCATCTATGAGTTTATCCATAATTTCATTATCAATTTCATTATCATCCGTTAGAATCCCTATAATTGATCTGCAATCTTCACTAGCAACCTATTATTGGTATACAAATTAAGAACTGTATGAATAACAATGATTATCATGAAGGCCATAAGCTATGTTCTACTGAAAGTGACTCTTGGTGCAGCTCGAATCATATACTAAGTGCGCTCCTTTTCGGCATACAATCGATTTAAGGTATAATTTAATTATTACCGTCCTACATTACTCCATACAAAGATACAACAACACTAATTCAATTCAAGGCTTGATAGGAAGGACATTGTGCGTGCGCATGCAAATAAACAGAAATCACTAGTCGTAATTGCAATTTGGAGATGCACTGCCATCCAGTATGAACATTATTCAGAGTTTCAATTCTAATTATCGGTATTGATGTCAGGTATACACGTATTAAGAAATAGTCTGTATTTGATTCTAAACTCTGATGCAAATAAAAACAAATTTATACTAAGCAAGCCTTGATCATTTGCAGTAGTACAATACCGATCAGGCAAAGGCGCACTATTTTCTTTTGACTTGAGTATTTATTTATTTTATTACTTCAATAGAAGCGTCGCCACTGGATGAGACAAGTACAGTAATTGCCATTAAAACTGACATCGTAAACGCCTATGTGGTGAAATTCTCGTCTAATCTACAGTACATTGTGGTAGCACAATAGTGATAGAAGTAATTCAGTTTGTTCAATTCTAATCTCATTTTATCGCTATACGAGTGCTTTACGTTGTACGTTTTCTATTAAGCTTCTCTATAAATACTGTTCTACGGTTCAAATGCAAGAAAAGATAGAAAAAAATTGGTTTGTACCTCTTGAGGGTTGTCATAAAATATTCCAAAACTCTTACAATTAGCTTGCATTTTAGTAAGCTGATTGAAAGCTTTATGCCATTCTTTATGCGGTCCACGGATAAATTTATATACCATATTGGTTGGATTAGCTAACAGGGATAGTTTATTTCTTTCAATGATAACAGTTCGATAGAGTCCACAAAAGATGAGATAAATGTAAAAGCATATTGCTATCGACAAGATGACGATGAGCAGAAACTGAGTAATCGTCATGGAGGTAATGCAGGTGTCGGGCACAACTAACACCAAAAATTGATCCAAGTAATAATTGGATGGAATTTACAAGAAGGAGAGTAAAAGATGCTTCAATTGATCAATGGCGGACCCCCTAATTACCAAGCAGCTACTACATACGATTGAATTTGGGAAAAATTTTGAATTGCGCAAGTCAAGTCAAGCACCTCAACTGACTGTCAGGTCAACGTCAAGAGACACGATCTTGTGGTGGTCGTTCGTACAGAACTGTACGGTGTACAGCGTACCTCACCTCACTTCAGCACCTCAACTGACTGTCATGGTCAACGATAGAAGAGACACGATCTTGTGGTGGTCGTTCGTACAGTACAGATCTGTACAGTGTACAGTACAGTGTACCTCATCTCACCTCAGCACCTCAACTGACTGTTCTGGTCAACGATAGAGGAGACACGATCTTGTTGGTCGTTCATACAGAACTGTACACTTGTACAGTACAGTACAGTGCACCTCACCTCACTTAAGCACCTCAACTGACTGTTCTGGTCAACAATATAGGAGACACGATCTTGTTGGTCGTTCATACAGTACAGAACTGTACTGTACACTTGTACAGTACACTGTACAGTACAGTACAGTACAGTGCACCTCACATCACCTAAGCACCTCAACTGACTGTTCTGGTCAACGGTATAGGAGACACGATCTTGTGTTTTGTGTTAGTCGTTCATACAGAACTGTACAGTGTACAGTACAGTGTACCTCACCTCACCTCAACTGACTGTTCCGGTCAACGATAGAGGAGACACGATCTTGTGTTAGTCGTTCGTACAGAACTGTACAGTGTGCATACAGCGTACACTGTACCTCACCTCACCTCAGCACCTCAACTGACTGTTCTGGTCAGCGATAGAGGAGACACGATCTTGTTTTGGTCGTTCATACAGAACTGTACAGTACAGTACAGTACAGTGTACCTCACCTCACCTAAGCACCTCAACCGACTGTTCTGGTCAGCGATAGAGGACACACGATCTTGTGTTGGTCGTTCATACAGAACTCTGCACTAGTAGTTTACTGTACACTGTACAGTACAGTGCAGTATGTTCATGCTGTCCCACTGCAAGGCTTTTTGCTTTATCGTATAGTCATGGTATTGGTGACAGTACGGTAGTCCAGTAACATCAGTGACGTGGAGAGACGACCAATCACGGTTACCGTCCGACTGTGCTTACGGTACTGTACACTGTACACTGTACACTGTACCCTGTATCGGGCAGGTGCATTCCAAAGTAGGCCCTCCTAGTTTATTGCAAACGCTACTGTACAGTGTACGGTTCCGGTCTTGCGATACAGTCAAATGACCTATCAAGTAGTCAGCCAGCACATTTTGGGCAAAGAGCAGTGGTTGGCAGTCTTGCTCTCTTTCTTTGAAGACATATATGTACGTCAAAATTGGAAAAAAAAAAAAAGAGGTCTCAGGGATCACTCAACACACTACAGTAGAAAGAGAGAGGCCGTTAATAACTGTTCATTAGCAAAAATGTGCAGGCTGACTGGCCGTTTGACCTATGCTATATCAAGTTGCGCACAGTACTGTGTTCATTACCAGTCTTTGGATACAGTCAAATGACCAACCATATGCACTCGGCTCTCTACTGTACTGCTAACTGTGGCCGGATGCAATTCATGGTACTGTACACAGTAACTGCAAAGCCAAATGTCCAGCGAGCACTGCATGGGGTTGGCAGTCCGGTCCGGTCCGTTCCGGTCCGGTCCCGTTGGTATGGTAATTGCTAGGCTTAGGCATTCATTTTCAGTAGTCTTTGCTCAATCATCTCCTGAACAGTCATAATATAGGACTACTGTAGATCTTGCTCAACATCCATGGAAAAAATGGCGTCCAATACCTCCCTGCTTGCAGCTACTGCTGCCTTACAATATGCCAAGAAACAGCTTACGGAATCACTTGGTGACTCGGAATCAGAGTATGGATAAATTGATGTAACAACAACAGTCATTGAAATGACATTCAATTGGTTCTGCTGATAATTCTAATATGTTTACCTACAGTTATATACAGTTATGGGGTCGGTTTCTTATGTCTGCGGATGCATCTTATTCTGCCCAAAATGTTCACTATTAGCACCTACTCTACGTCAATTGAGTGATCGAAAGCAGTCTAAAGCGATAGACTACTACAAAGCCTACGATAGAGCATGCACTGATCAAAATGAAGTCGTATCTCAGTAAATTTAGCTCGTTATTCAATTGAACTTAGCTGGCAATATAATTCACACAAATATCAATGCAATTGCTCTTCATTTCTTTCTTTAAAATGTCAACGTTGCTATTGATCATTGACAGTACTGTAGGTATCGTAGTTGGATGCTAACTTTAATCCGTTGTATTATATTGCCATCATTGTGATCTATTCTTAATTGGCAGGTATTGGAGTAACTTAAAACAGTGGTTTAAAGGAATGGTGAGTAAAATCAATACAATTACCAACAGTGGTCATGATGATATTAGGCATTAGCGTCCTGTTGAATACTGTATGCCTATTGCATAATCATCATCCAAGATTTTGCCTTTAATTACTTTTTGACAATATGATAATCACTTGTACCAATACGTTGTTTATAATTAGATCAAAAAGAGCGAATTTGATATGAAGGCTCGGGAATTACTTGGTGCTAGATGTGGTAAGATGAGAGAAAAATGTACATGATAGCCCCATGCTTTAAACGCATCGATCAAGATGCGTGTCCAGTTTCGCTGCTATTGGCGATAACAGAGAGAGTCAATGCTACCATTTGAAATTAATATTTTTTTTCTGCTAGTACACAAACACAATGAATTTATCCTTGCTATACTTTATAAAAGCCAAATGATTGGAACTGTAAAATGTAGGTTGATCGATAAACAACTTCTCCTATGACGAATTTCAGCAAACGAACAGCACAATTTATTAAGTGCAATCTTATTTTATCGTTAGATTCCAAAGTCTCCTTGCCTAGGCAACGCTCTAGTAGCCAAAATGAAGTCCGTACTGAATGTCCAAAAGAGGAAATCAGTGACACAGAGTCTTTTGATCAAGATACTTTCGTTTCTACGGTAATGATCGAGCAAGCATTGATCGATGAAATTTAACGCACTATATTAGTAAAAAAGTATTTCATAGTTTTCGTAAATGATATAGACCTAATGAGCAAAAAATTTTTTTGCTAGAATCATTTCCAACCTGTTTCTGCCTTACGGGATGCAACTTCCTTGGATCATACTGTAAGTCATTTATACTTATGTCTTCCTCAATACTAAATAACAGACAACTAACTCATATGAATTAACTTCCACTCCTCTTTATTCGGATTACCGATATAGCAAGGTAAAGAGTGAAAAAGTAGTATCTTATTTTGCTGAGGTTGTATCCCTTTTCGCTAATACATACATAAAGTTTGATACTATTATTGAATTAATACTATTGCTGTTATTTTAAATGTGTGTAATATGGTACAAACAAACCTTACCTTTGCAATGATACCAAGTCCATTACCTAATTCAAATAACGATGTATTTTACTAGCGGCAAAGAATAAAGTAAATGAAGGGGATCTCTGGCTATGTAGCAGAACTCATATGCTACCAAATTTAGCAGCTTTGCATTTTAGAATTTCTGTTACTTCATGGGAGAATGGCTTAGATTCGATATCAGATGATATTGCTGAGTGTGTGATGGTAGCACTTGAAGTGAGTTATGCTCTTGTAATGATGGATCAGAATCTAATGATGTTGATCCAGTTCTACGTAACTTATCAATATTATCAAAGTTCATGCATTAACTACGGTCATATTTATTACATACGAATATATAGAACCATTTAAAGAATATCATTTCTGCAAGTTTGTCTCGGCGAACATCTTATTCGCTGACTGATGGCCGCTTTCAATATAACATGGGCTCTAGTAGTGGTAATCCCTTACTACGAAATAATATTGGTAAAATTCCAAGGTTTGTATCAAAAAAATAATATCCGATAAAATTAAACTTAGTCTGAAAGGCGTGTATTGAAACTCTGTTGACGTGATAAAATCCCACTTTTTAGTTATCGCCTGCAGTATATTGGTCTTGTAATGTGTCATCAAATGTCCATTGTTTAGCTTTACTACATTCACTGGCACGTCAGCGATTGAAAAGAAGTTATTTTATTCCAAATTCGCGTCATCTATGCTCTTAATTATGTAGTCGCTATTATTATGAAACTTATTTTATACATTTAATAGTATTGTTATACCTGTATGGTTAGATTACATTTTTGAATTATGATAATGCTAATCTGCTATTTACTTTTTAAGATCGAGTTATAGTACCGTTGCAACCATGGAAGCAGATGTTGCACAATCTCTAGCTTGTAGCAAACCTACAGATATCTTGAAACCATTAACATTACCGGAATTACTAACGACCTTAATTGTAAGTACTATGCAATATACCCAATAGGTAGATTATCTGCTAATGCACATGGCGTGTTTTATATATGTAAATATTTCTGTACAGTTCGCCCGAATTGTATGTAGATAATATCGTGATTACTATTGAAGAAAATTGATGGTATACTTGACATCTCTTTACAGATATCTCCTTTTATAATACCTTCACAAACTGTTTACGCTACAGCCCTTGAAAGATTAATAGCTACTTATACCGAAAAGAGCCAAGAAGAGATTTTTAGTCATGAGGCTTTAATGAGGCAGGAAGATATGCAAGCTCGTAAGAAAAGAAAATTAGAAGCAAAAAATCTTTATGATGATTTCGGCGGCTCCTAGCCTTAACTTTGATCAAGTAAAATATCGAGATGTTAATATTTCTGTAGACTTAAGTAGTGGATGTTAATAATTAAATTATTAATGACAGATACAGTTTGACTGCATAATGGTAAAGGAATTCTTACTGTTAACCTTATATTACAAGAAGTACAATTTAAATGCGAATATAACAAAATTTGCAAATCGATGTACATCATTCAGAATAGATGATTGAAAGTAATTTCTTGATTATTTTCTTATTTTTACATCATGACGAAGTATGACAAAGTTAATCACAACAAAATAAGCACGAAACGTTGTGCGTATTGTTAATTTATATTAGTGATTTGGACTGAGGATGATCTCCAATGTTCAATCCCCTTGGATTAGATATCCAACTGCGAAAAATCTTTATTGTTTTGCTCGTATTAAATAATAAGAGTGTAAATCAGTTAGAGATGGTTAGAAATGTAGATCCATATGTTTTTTTCTGCAGTAATTTCCATTATGCGGATGGTTGTGCTATTAAGTTATGGTATGAAAAGCATTGAAGATAACGGCATCATTCTATGATTTGACATAGTATAGCTTTAAAAATTTTGCAAAACTGTATAAATTTGGATCGTCACCGTTGTGACATTGTACATTAACTCTTGTTCGAATATTTATGTAATCTTATTCATATCGCTAAAACATAAATTGTTAGATAAGTGAGTACTAAAGCTATATTCAAACTACGGCGTGGATTTTTGGTCATGTACAGTTGTATGTTTATCGTTAACGATATAGCTCTTTTGCCAAGATTTTACAAATTCTTATCCTGGAAGTTATACAAATGAAAGCTTTATTGTTAATAAACGACTTTTTTAATAGAAATGCAGATATAGCTGATAGGATTTTATGCTCAAATTTCATAAATTTTATTTGCTAGTACAACCGCATTAATTAATTGTTAGCTTTCTATAGTCTGACAAAAATCTGTATGGCGCTTGCAACAACTGCCTAGTACTAGAGCAATGATTAGCGATAATTCGTAGAATTAGAATCACGACTATGTAAAAGTATTCACCAATAGCCATGAAATACAACCACAATTTTAAGTTAATACGATTCATAGATGATGTATGAAGCGTTAATAAATTAAAATCGTTCATCACGAAGAAACATTGGGTAAATCATTTTAAAATTATGAAATTACTATTATGAACTTAACTTAACATGATGGGATTGTTTTAATTACTAATCTAATATAAAGTACAGAAATGTTATCCGGATGAACCATTCATACATAAGGAATAGTAGCCTCAAATCGAATTATTGATGATTATGTAATACTGTATGATCTAGTTTGAATAATTTCTTCATAAAATAGATCCATTTTAATCATCGCACGAAATTATGAGTCTGTAAGATTTATTGTACTTTACTAAAATCGACAATCTTTACAATCAGGATCGGCATTTTTACTAGTTCATATACAAAGTGAGAATATCAAGTATTTTATACTTTTTTCTAATTACAGATTAACATTAGTTAATGTACAAATATTTAAGTTGTTACATTATGTTACGGCAATGCGTATCTCTTGTTCAGCAAATAAGAGATTTGGATCTATTTTGTTGTACTAATAAGATATTATACCGTGTAATTATTTATATTACTTCGTCTCATGCTATTGTAGCATCGGCTGTAATGATATGCATACGTCTTAAATTATTAATGTTACTTCGTATATGGAAAACAAACATAAATCGGTTAATCCAACCAAATGGGCTGTATGATTGGTATGTTGTTGTTCCGATAACTTACCTCATCATGAATTCATATCAAGTTATTCTAACAATAATAAATCATACGCTGTATAAGCCACGTTCAGGTAGTCTGCACTTAGTACCTTATCTTGATTCCAGTGGCGTATCATTTTTTAACATTCGTGTCTTAATAGTACGAACTGAAGGTAACTATTGGGAGATTAAATTGCAATAATAATTTTTTAAAGTGGTATCTTGAATTGTAGATTGCTACACTAGATTATCTTACATGAGATTTTCCTGTAGCCTTGTTGATGTAGTATTGGATAAAATGTAAAAAGATTGTACAGTAGTCTTACAGCATACCGTTCGACGTGTCAAAGTACAGTTATAAGAAGGTTGTTACAGTTTGGGTTAACATTAATAACAATATTTAGCATTTACAGAAAATAGTGATATCTTAGACCTCATATTTAGTAGCAGGCTACAATAAGTTAAAGGAAGAGAAAGTTAGGTCGCATAGGCATTATTATCAGAGTTTATTTCCTTACGTACGCTTACTTTTTTAAAAGATTGGATAAAAAAGCGCTAGAAAAGGTTATAACTGATCTGAAAGTAATGAACCATTCGGTAAGTTTAACTGTATTGCCGACATACTTGTATACCGTCTCAAATTTGATTTTATGCCTTGGTATTATTAAAAATTAGCTGTATTATTTTTAAAACCTTTACTTTATTTCTAAATAAAATTCACTGGTAATAACTTAGAATTGATGAATCCCGAAATTTTAAGATAGTTGTATGATGAGTAAAAATCCTACTTTAGTTACTTTATACAGTTCATTCAGAGTTAATCCATCATCATGTTAGGATGGTGATGAACAAGTTATCATTTTTTCAAATATTATTTCTGCTTTTTTCTATGACACTCTACCTGCTAGCAATATCTTGAGAAAGCTTAATCGCCCACAGTATTAAGATACAGATATAATTAAGCTAAGACTCTTAACGAGGAAAGAGGAATTAACAGTATACTGTTACAGTTGTAAATTGGGCAAATTCATTATTACAAGTTTGTTATCAAGAAATAAAGATCAATATTTTATTTCTAGCCTATTAATTAATACTTAGAATGGGATTATGGGAAATCCGATCGTATTGTATACTTTAACGAGCATAATATTTTATCTCTCCTGTTTTTGCTGCATTACGATACAATGGTGCAGTAAGAGGAACATAAAGTTAACTTTGCTCTAACCCTTCCAGACTATTTACCATACACATTATCGAACGTCTACTCTCTCAGTTAGTTCAAACTCTATTTCATGCTAGACTAAATAATTACGATATAATACTAATTATCACGTCATTTTTACGGTGAACTGAAAGCGGTAATTTCACAAGGATTTTCATGCGCTAATTTATTCCGGCATTGTTGGTTCCTTTTTCATGTTTCATTGTTACCGTTTATTAAAGCATACGTGAAAAATTGACATTTCATTGAAATCTACAATCACTGCATATTGATAAAAATACATCACCGTGTATAAGAACTTGCCATTCCTCTTTCTCCATTTTACTGACAACTTTTAATAGGCAACAATACAACTTATTACAAGAACTTGCCATTCCTCTTTCTCCATTTTACTGACAACTTTTAATAGGCAACAATACAACTTATTACAAGTCGTATGTTTGTGTGATTATATCGAATCTTTGATTCGTTTACTTGGATTGTATACGCGTACACAGGTATTAATGACCATGATTAGACACAAAGTGTTATAAGGAGATTATTCAAGTTGATACCTTTAGATCTAAAGTCTTCAACAGATGCAAATAATTTTGCAAAACAAGTATAAGGGGGTAGAGGTGTTCTAGGTACAAGTTAACATATAGCTTAAACTGAAGGTCTCCTTTTTCTATTCGGTAGTTCCGACTTTGGCTACTTTATCCATGTTTTTCGGTGAGTGAGTACTTTGTACAAGCAAAAGATGGAATTGAAATTTTAACTTGAGTGCTAGCCAATCCTCAACGAGTGTACGCATTTCATCACTTCTGAATTGTTCTGTGTGCTATCCGATATGGGTCTTAATATGAGGAATAAATTATACCCGTAATTTTGCTTCACTAATATACATATTGAGATTAACTGTAGTTCATGGTGCCATCATCAGGTGTTCAAGTAGTAGCAATGTGAAATAAAATTGACATTTTAGGCACCCTACGCTCGTATGTCGTTGCACATGATAGAAAAAGAGATTCTATACGTTGCACGAAGTGTCGGTCCAACTAGTTTTTACTCCTATATTTGCTAATATGGGCGTATTTTTGGTGGTTCCGTATACGGATAGACAGCTCATGTGTAAAGTAAAAAGTAAAAAGTACACGTATAGTGCGCAAAGAATACTCATTAAATGAATTCACTATTATGCAGTAGTTTTCTAGTTGTTACTCCTACATTTGCTTGTATGGGCGTTTTTTTTTTTGGCGGATTCTACAAAATAATTATGTTGGGTATCAATACTAATTACTGTAATTATACAATAGTTTTCAAGTTATTCTACTCTTCCATTTGCTTGTACTGTTCAGACATATTTTGTTGGAGATACCGTACGGATAGGGATTATACTTAGTACTCCGGTATCTTTAAATTATAATTTTGGGCATCAAGGTTAATCATAATTACTGTACAATTTCATCTGCCATAAATTCATTTTTCAAGCCAAGTAAAAGAGCATAGGAGCAGGAACTATCAGATAACTGTATTAAACAGCTGATAGGTAGTTTATTCACTGAAAGCAAAATAAACTTCTATTGAGCTGGTTGTTAAGGAACTGTCTGAATGGCGATATTGCGCATTCTTTCATAACATATAAATCTATGACTCATGCCTGCTATTGAAGACTGCTTTCTTTGCTAGTAAGAAGATGGTACAAGTGTAGTCATATAATAAATCCCCATCGCAATAGGACCTCAATTTCATAAGACCTTGCGTAATCACTAAAGATGCATAAAAAGTACCACAAAATAAACTGATAAAGCACCGCATGCACTATGGAATTGCATTGCGTCATTCTAATCATCCATCTATCGTTTATGACTTATAATATTGACTTTCTTTAGCTCCTGTATGGTAGGATCCTGTTAAACGCTCTTCATTACTTCAAATGTCGTTGCGAAATATCAATGTTAATATGCCATAGACATACAGCAGATAGAAAGTAGGGTATACGTATTGGTGTTCCTAGTCCTGATAGAGATGGATTC